GCTCTGTGTTCTGAGTCTCCCCGGGTAGGCTGTTGGCCCCGGGGGCAGGGGGGACCGAGAACGGCTGGTCACCTCCCAGCTCCCTAGCGGGGCTCCTAAGTGGGGTTCGTCCTGCAGTCGGATTCTCCTGCCAACCGGGGTCCGGGGACTGTGCTGCCCCACAGACCCTGCGGTCGGGTCCTTCTGACCCAGCCTCACCTCACGGGCTGCAGGGAGAGGGTGGCTGTTTTCTTGTTCCTGGTCGGGGCGCCCCCCTCTCTCTGGCTACGGAAAAGTCAGAGGCCGAGGGATTGTCGTGATATGGAAGGGGCTTTTAGAATAATACCTAGTAGCTACAGCAGCCCATTCAGTCTGCACAGCCGTGCCGTCGCATCTGACCTGTGAGGGGAAACTGAGGCATAGAGGTGCGGGGGCTTGCCCAGGGTCATCAGGGAGCTGGTCGGGGTCCCAGGCAGGCAGTGCAGGGTGGGGCCTGGAACAGGAGAGGGGGCTTAGACTGGATGTTGGGGATGGAGACACCTCTGGCCGTTGGTGTCGGGGGCTGCAGAGCAGGTGGCGTGGCCCTTCTCAGGTTTGGTGTCCTGAGGCCCTGGCGAGAGGTGTCATGAGTGCCGGACAGTCCCCGGGTGCCTGACACCCCTGGCCAGTGATGGCTTGTCTGGGCGTGAGCCCCTTCCGCTGCACCCCACGCCTGGGCGTGGAGTGAGCCCGGAGGCTCTTCTTGTCCAGGAAGCTTGTATCCTTAGATCTCTCCAGGCTGAGATCCCATCTCTTATCCGGGGGTTTGGTAACATGGGGCCTCTTGCCGGCCCTCAGACCACCCTGCCCTCACAGGCTCCCCTCTTTCGCTGTTCATTCATTCACGCGAGAAAGAAGCCGAGCCCTGCACTGTCCGGGGCTCCCTACAGCAGGGGATAGAGCAGAGTGCCGTCTGATCACAGTTCTTCCCAGGGTGCTGTCAGGGAAGCAGGCTGTCGCCACCCTCAGAGCCTCCCTGGGAGAACTTTCAGGGCATGGAGGTTATACGTGGGGGGAAA